CCAACCGACATTGACTAGTAGCAAGTCTACCATGTTGATAACTATGTGAATATTTTTTCAAATTCTGATGAATGAAATAGATTGATACTGGCCTTTTTGTATTCTTTCTAAAGACGTAATAGTTTATCGCGTTTATCTTTCTACTCTCGCTTTTATCTTAACAGCATGATGACAAAACAAAAAAAATAATTATCTTGAGAAGACGAACGACACATTGTATGAGAATACACTTATTTCTCAAGTATGAAAAAAGTGAAATAATTATTATATCTATTAATTATACTTTTTTTACTTTAACCTCTTGTATGTTCATCATTTTTTGAGTTTAAGAGTTTTAATATTGTCAAATGCTGATGGATCGTTTTAATGAAAGGTCAACTAATAGTGCAAAAGTTCATCCCTCGTTTCGCGGATGTTGCCGCATCAACTTATGAGTTGATCAGCAAAATCGAGAAGAAGCGACATGTAGTTCTTTCAAATCTTGTAGGAAAGTAAAAATCTTCACTTCGAAAACTAATATTTAGTTGAAGCATTGAATTAATTATTGATAGCAACGCTAGTAATGATTTAGTACGGTATAAATTAACTGCAAAGCATAATATTTTAAGTAGTGACCTATTTTCGAGTTCGAATATAAATCAAAATTGAAAAACAAAACTATCAGTGACTCAGATCGCTAGTGAAAGGTAAAGCTTGGCTAAATTAATATTTATAATTCAAGTGAGGACTTTGTTCCACTCTGATGATACACCTTGTCTACAGTCTTTCGTTCTCACCTTCACCAAAATGATATTTCGTGTGTCATTCTGTCAATCTAAACATATTCACTAAAGTTCTACGATCCTTTTTGTTTCTAATTAAAATTATACTTCAGTTAAAACTTATCTTTGGCTTTTTCTGTAGTGAAATGTCGGCTCAATTTTTTTCAGTCATTTTCAAGTTGATATATGGTTCTTTAAGTGTTCATTTATTTTATAATTCAAATTAGAAACTCATGATTATCTCATGATTTTGAACATACAAAACGGAGTTCTTTGATGAACCGATACTAGATGCAATTCGAAAGTAATAAAATAATTAAAATGAACGTGCTCAATGTTTTTCAAACCATATTCAAAAGTTAATCAGTTTCAAGATAGATATTTTTATAGTCATGTAATCATAGGAAGACATGTTAGCTAAATATTATATTAGGTTTTTTCTAGAAAGGAGAAGTATCAAAGTTTCGCGATTTTGCACATTTTAACGGTATGTGATGTTTTCTTTCTTTCTGCTATTTTTTGATGAAGTGAAAGATATCATCTTTTTTTATGCATTTATTCTCTTGTGATGACAACTTTTATTGATTATAATCAAGTAAAACAACATATTTTGAAAATTTTAATCAGGAAATATACAAAAAACCACAAAGTTTGCCATGAACTAAAAAAGAAAGTGTGTAAAAGATAGCAATGATTTTTGGATAAATAATGAACAAAAACGTGACAAAAAATTGGACTCATTTTGTGTTAAATATTAAGATGATTCAAAGTTATTGATACCTTTGAATTTATTTTTTAGATGATCATATAAATTTTCATATTTATTGTTCTATTCTAATTCTGGATTTTGAAACTGGCTATTTTTATTTATAAGTTCGATTAAAAGTCTTTCCACTGATTGCTGTTCTATTTTCAAGAATAGAACTTTTTCGATAACTTGTATAGATTTTTGAATATCTGAAACACAATATACATACATTTAATTCAAAAGCAATTTAATGATCTTTTTATTTGTCCATTTTTTTGGTTCTTGTTGTACTATTTATAGTATGAACTGTTCAGTTTTGTTGTTGTGCCTGTTTATATTTGAGAAAAACTTTCATACTTGTCGGAAACAGAAAAATAAGTATAAAAATTTAGGATAAATCGACTCTAGAAGTAACACCAACTCAACATCATTCATATAGATTATGCGTGTGTTCAAGAATTATGAGTTCTGACAGTTTTCTGAAACAATACTTCTTGTTTATTGTTATGACCTTGAAATGTCTTTCCAACAACGTCAAAATGCATTAAATCGTGTTTAGATCGGAGAATAATTATCTCGACAAATTTGTTCACATATGTCTTCAATATGAGCGTAGCCATTTCTGAACTTGCTTTCATTGATTGTATCCATTGTTTCTCATTTTGATGCTCTTCAGTGAGAATATAAATGTAATTAATTTGAACTAATTCATAAACACAAGACAAAATCAATATATACATCATACAGTGATCAAGAGAAGGTAAGCATTTTAACGTCATTGACAAGCAGTCCTAGTTTTGCGATGGTTTCACTATTCGCATTAGGTAGATTAGAATAAAAATCCTAGTATAGCGACTTGGAAATCGCATCAATATAAATGCCGTGTGAGTAGAAAGGTTAGTGATGTCTATAACTTAGCGTTTTCCAGTTCATTCTATGTCAAGGATTGTTTTTTTTCTACTAAAAGATATAATCAGGAAAAGTTATTTTTGTTTCTCTTTTTCTTTTCTTTCGTTTATTGTCTCTTTAAATCAAATTCTTTTTTTTAACATCGTCACGCAGTCTTTTGTCACATTAAAAGAATTAATTTTAATAATTTTTCGAACAGGAAGAAATGAGGTTTTGAAAAATTTCAAATTATTTTTTCGATAATACCAGATTGGTCAACATGAATGTTAAACTCATGCTACAATAATATTTTAGCGCATAATAACCTATTTTGACTCAAAATAATTCCGTCCAAGTTTATCAACTTTCTTAAGTTTCTAGTTTGCAATCTTTCTCTGCATTTACTTCTTTCAATCTTATTATCTTTAGAAAAAAAAAATGAGTGGTTTTTTTATTCTTTGCAAATTTTCAATGTTCCCCTATCAAATTTAAACGCAACAATAGCAGATTATTTCTATTAAAACAAAAGATTCACATGTCTTTGCTGTTCTCAATATAATCTAGTTTTTCTTTTCAAAAATGATCCATCATATTAACTTCGAAGTCATTAAATACAATAATTGCCAATGACATTGATCAGTACTTTTTGGATGATGACGTCTGATATAAACTGAACAGTTTTATTTCAAATATTTACTGATTTGTTTTTTCAATAATTTGATCAATATCATCTAATATCAGTGTTATTTCAGATTGTTCAATAATTACATCAATATTATGAACATGTACTATCAGAGTTCGAGCATGAATTGCTAAAATATTCATAGCAGCAAGCCAAAGAGTTATATTAAGAAATCGTTTCACAGCGTCATGGTGGCCATATTTGTAGAGAAGATATCTCCATGTTAATTTTGCATACTTGTTTTGAATCTTTGCAATATCAATAGGATTTGTTAAGTCTTTTGAGGTTTCTGAATAATAACAGCAAGTATTTTCAGAGAAAGCGAACAATGAAATTGATAGTTTGACCAATACAATATCTGGATCAATAAATCTTCTTGTCCAAATATGAATATCCATGGTATGTTTTCCATACTTTGCATTCATAACCTTCAAAAAAGAATTGAGACCATATAAATGGCTATGTTGCATAATAAATGCACCACTCATACAGCACACATTATCAACAGCACTACGAAGTATTATGGAACGATCATTAGATGATAAATGACGAAGATCATCATTGAAACGAAGATACGCTCCTACTGTTTCGTAAACAGACACTAAGAATTCTTCTACAAGTGCTTCGTACATCACATAAGTGAATTGTGAAGTATTATGTGTATCTGTTAAATGTTGAGCGAACGGTAAAATTTGAGATTTTTTATAACAATTAAATAAATTTGAGAGAAGTGTTCATTGATTAATAGTTAATATTGATTGATCTGATTGTAAAAGATTTTTTGTTGGAAGCTAATAAATAAATAACAAAAAATATGTTATATTTGTAACACAATTACACGTAACAATTTTATCATGTTGGCTTTAACTAGATAGTCGGCTATATAATAAGATAAGAGTATTTTTAAAACTTTTCAGTGATATAAAAATGAAAATCTAAGAAAACCAATTAAATTAATAAGATTTGCAATAGTTTAGTCGAAGGACGATTATATATAATAAACGAATATTAGAATTTATTATTTCACTATCATGAGATCTTTCTTAAAGCCCTCCGCACAATAGATTTTCCGCTTAAGATGGTCCATTTGAGCCTAAATTTTCAGGAATCAGTGCTCCTAGTGAGAAACGCTTCTTGTAAAAATTTCAGCTCGATATGTCAGACTACAATGAACTTAGAGCTTATTTATAGACCGTTTATGGTCTCGAGAAGAATCTTTATAACTTCATCATTACACAAGTTACAGAGCCCGGGATGGTTTCAAATTAAAGCAAATATCCTTGTGCAGTTTTTATCTAAATAAAATTTTGAACTTCGCTTCTATTGACTTTTTATGATCATATGAGTGCGTATGGCGTTAAAATACACAAAACAAACATGTCTCTTCACGACACTAAATCTCGCTTTTCTCAACACAGAAATTAACTGTAAAAAACCTGATTGGACAAAAGTTTACTGTCATTTAGACCTTTAAAGCAAAAAAAAAAATATTGATTATATGTTGAATCGGATGGAAGAAGTTTCAATTTTTTTTTTTATTGAAAACCATGTTCTGAGAAAAATGCTAAATATGTTTAGACATGGATTTTTTCATTCAAATCCAGAAGAAAAAGAAAACGTATTAAAATGGAATTTTTAACAGCATGTAGCAGATAACATAAGACAGCACTATCTATCGCGCTTAAATTATAAAAATATGTTCATTCAATGCTGATTCAAGCAAAAAGGCATTCTTCACAAAACTAAAAAATTTAAAAAAGAACACAAAAATTTCTCGGCAAAAAAATTAAACTTCATTGCATTTTCCTATGATAAAAGCTTAACTTCGATTTTTGTGAAAGGAAAGGGCTTAATGGTCAAGTTGACATGGAAGAAGTGAAATCGTTTTCTCGTGTAAGTAAGTTTATTCTTGTCAATTTAATTTAATAATTTTTCCATCTCTGGTTGATGTTGTACTTTTTTTTTACTAAAGTGTTTGTATTTGGTTTAGTCTGTCTTGATGCTTGAAGTTTGTCAATACTCATTCCACATTTAAAACATTTAGCAAGTCGACATGCAGGACATATATGACGATTATTTATATTAATTTCCCATTGACCACCAAAATTACATAAAAATGCTACCTAAATGGATTAAAATGAGAATTCAAATGAGACGAGAGAATCAATCTGACCTGTCCAGCATTAGCATTTCGTTTAAAGAACATTTTGCATGCATGACATGAAATAACACCAAAATAAGAATATTCAGCAGGAACATCACATATTCGACATTCGTTTGCAAGTATTTTGGATCTCTTAGTTTTGACTGGTATAGATGAGTTTATTATATTATTCGATGCCATCTTTCCAAATAAAATTTATCGTACATTAAACTTAACTTATTGAGAGAAATAATAAGAATGATTAAAGAAAAAAACAAGTCCGTGTCTGTATATAAAGAAAGGGTCATTCTGTGTGTATCGTTGTTCTTTTTTTCTTCTGTGCAGAACGAAAAATGTCTCTTTCAAGTTAACCACCATAATGTGCGTATTTCTCGACACATTTACGTAATTCTTTAAACAAAGAAGAAAACAAAAGTCTGCTTTTTTTTATTGTCGTGCCAATTCTTGTTCGCATAGTATTTCATCTATCTCGAGGTTCATTATGCATAGTTATAAAATAAAATTAGAACTACCATCAAATTTACAATTCTCATCAAGGATAATAGAAATGTTTTTAAGAAAAAATAATGAAGAAAAACTAATCGTAATGTTTACAACACATTTACCATTTCTCGTTTATTAGTTCTCTTACATTTAATGAAATAAACATGCGTTTATGATGCAAAAATTATCATCAATTAATCTCACACCTATTAAGTCACGGTCAAAGGCAAAGAAAATTGAATGTAAAGTTTGTGTAGCTCAAAATAAATATTCATATATTGATGTTATATCATGTTACTCCTGTATATTGTTTTTTCAACGAAATGCTGAACAACGACAGATGAATGGATAATATGTATTTATGTATATGAGATTTTTTTTTATTAGAAAATATTGAAATGTGGTTCTGATAGTCATTGCGAAATAAATACAAACAATCATGTCTATGCCAGAAGAAATCATAAATAATCTTGTTTGCCGTCAGTCATTAATTCCTAGTATGAGAGTTTTACTTCAAAACAAAATGAGTTATAGATCTTCACACCTCAAATTACCATTTAATCATCAATTGAAGTCTATATTTCCTTGTGCCATCGTTCATCTCGTTCTGACTGCTTAAAACAAGTAGCTAATGCTCATGATTGAGAAATTTTCTCTCAAACTCTTGTGACGATGTAACGTCTAAAGGATATCTAAGACAAATATATATATCACATCAGTTTTAATATTTGTTTCAACTTTAGCAGATTCAGAAAAATATCTAACTATTGGCATATGATATTAATTATACGTGACATCATTAACTACACCACTTTCGAACAGATGTAAGGTCTTCTCAGTAATATGAGCTCTCCAAGAAACTATACAAAACAGATGTTACACAAGATTTTCTAGTTTTCTCAGGTTATGAACGAAATAGTTTGAATTATATGTGGTATGTAAAAATCATTTCTGAAAACAAGGATAGCAGTTCTGGAACAGCAATATGGAGAAAAAAGTTTCGTTGAGTAGTACAACAAAGACTGTCAATCGATCCCACATGGTGAAAAGTGAGCACTTGCTTATGAATTGAGCCTCAAGAATTTTTATGTAATGATACACTGAAAAAGCCGCTTTTGAGCGCCAAAAATACGAACTCAATAGCTGCGAGTTTGTCTGAATTATTTGAAAAAAATAGCCACTCCTTCACCCTTCAAAAATTACATCAAGTAACACGATCGGTAGATTATTTACAGCTGCATTCATGTCGATCGCATCAAAACGATTCGAATATAGCTTCCCACTTGTTAGAACTAAATGTAATGTTTCATTATTGAAACATTAATTATTCGTACGAACATATGTAAAAGACTAAAAACTATTCCCATATTCTAAAAAATATAAGCGAAGGTCATATTTGATGCATGAGAAGTTAGGGGATTTGGAAAGTAGTGGTGTTCCATTGTCGACAGCTCCGTTAATGAGTCATCTCCCACCTACTCTACACCTTTCACATAATATTCGATAACTCATGCATTTCGGACCTTCATTTCTTTACTATTTCAATAATTCATTTATCATGAAATGACATAGAAGTTGTGCAATAACACTCGGTGCATGTATAAAAATTTCACCGTTCTGATGATTTAACATGACAATCTGTTTTATGGTATAGAAATGTATGAAGGAAGAAATCAAAAAAAACAAAGTAATAATTTCCATTTTATGAGAAAAATGATTTCTTCCTGTTTTATTAACAATTTCACTATTCGTGTTATAGTGGCTGATGTGGTGTATTGTGTACGTGTATGAAGGATTTGTATTCAATCGTGCTCATCTGAACCACATATTGATATATAAAAGTAAAAATTATATTAAAACTTTTGATTGTTTTCTGACACTAGTTGTTTATTACTACATTACTACTAAGATAATTATCAAATTATATGGTTATGTACAGTAGTATAATGTACTGTCTTTTAACAAAAAAACGATGAAATCGGTATAAGTTTTTAACTCTAAATTGATAGGGCACAAACAGATGCCATAAAAACTTAATGTAGTGAGATGTTTTATTTTCTGTTCGATAAAAAAAAATTAATATTAATAATGGTAAAACAAAAATGTTTGAGTTGTAGGGAATATCAGCAAGATTTTATTTAAAGAAATTTAATCGGATACTTTGGCCAGAAGATCAACTATTGCAGTATCAGCATAGATCACATATACTGCTTGATGATTATATTTCTTCAACTCATTGGTTTTCTTCCTCCCTCATTGCCTATATTTATTAACAATCGAATTATGTTCGCTTGAATTTAATGTTTAGGTCG